CAATAGTGGAATACTGTAGAAACTCTGAATATTCTTTTTTATTTTTCTACACACAATCTAAAATTTTGTTTTACATTTTGGACTTAGAACTTGAGAGAGAGATGGCAACGTAATTCAAGGTTCTGCGCTTATCATATAAAACAATATATGATAAGTGCTAAGTGAAAAGTCATGCACTGTGATAAGGAGGATAATAACAAGTGTAGCTAAGCCATGCAGCACAGCAGAGGTAATATTTGGGCTGGGGCTCTAATGATAAGCAGAATTTATGTAGCAGAGATGAGGAGGCAGAATGTTAATGATAAACACTTTGACATAAGCCGAAGTTGGGGACAAGAATATTCAGGTATGTTTGAGAAATAGTAAGGAGAGATTCTTGGTGTTTTGGCATATAGGCTAAGCTGCTATAAACAAAGAGGCCACCCAATACAATAAGATAGAAGTCTTTTTTTCTCTCACTTAACAAGAGGCAGACAGTCCAGGGAAGGTAGAGCTTATCCGGAGACCCAGGTTCCTTCTCCCTGTTGCTCTTCTGTGGCTCGCCAACACCATGTCTGCATTCCAGCTCCGAAGGGGAAGTGGAGGGCAGCCAGCGTTCTTATGGCTATGACTTGCAAGTTTCACATCTTTCTTGTGCTCACATCCCATTGGCCCAGGCTTTGTCACATGGTATCACCTAACCGAAAAGGTTTTGGAAATGAGCCTCCAGGTTATGAATATCAGGAGGGGGGTGTCTCTTAAACTAAACACTGAATAGAAAAAAGTTTGTTTAAAGGAAGGGGAATATAAACTTAGAAGGAAAGGCTTGGGCCAAAATACAAGGGACTTTGAATTCCAAATGTTTGCATAGCACAGGCACAAAATAAATACCTTTCTAATGAGCGCATGAATAAATGAGTATGTAAGTGGATGAGTGAGTGATTGTATCATTGAGATTAAACTTTATCTTCTAGACTAGGGTTGCGAACTAAAATGACTCTAATAGGCCAGGCAGGTAATATAAATGAATCATACAGCCAGGTGTAAATTGGGAGTGAGGAGACTGAATCAACCGGAGGCTATAGACATGTCTAAGGGGCAGCCAATGCTCAGCTCCAGGTGATGGTTGCACAGGAATGTGGACCCTGTGTGGCAAGATTTTGAAATTTTTAAAAAAGAGTAGGAAATCTGAGTTTTATGTATCTCCCCATTTTTTAATGTTGGGTCTGAACAACTTTTAAATAGGCCAAATAAAATACATCTGTGGGATAGATTTGGCCTTTAAGTCATTAATTTGTGAAGATGGGAAACTACTTAAAATTTTTGGCTCAGAGAGTCGGTAGTTTAAGAAGGTTATTATGGTCATGGCATGCTGAATAAACCTCTAGCACGGTAGTTCTCAACTGAAGCTGCAGATGACAATCACTGGGGAACTTTTAAAAAATCCCAGCTTCAGGCTCCACTCCGTCAGAGAGTCGGTAGTTTAAGAAGGTTATTATGGTCATGGCATGCTGAATAAACCTCTAGCATGGTAGTTCTCAACTGAAGCTGCAGATGACAATCACTGGGGAACTTTTAAAAAATCCCAGCTTCAGGCTCCACTCCGGACCACTTATACCACAATATCTGGGGTTGGGTATTTTTTAAAGCTCTTCAAGCAATTGCAATGTGTAGTCAAGGTTGGGAGCTAGTCCCCTAAGGCTTATTTTGAAGGTTATTGCAATAGCGTGGACATATGGTAAAAGGGTCTGAACTGTTGTTTTGGAAGCAGACCGAAGAAAGAAAGAGGCAGAGGTGGGAGGCATTATAAAGGATAAATAGATAAAATTCTGTGGTTGTTTTAAAATAAGAGAGTGGAAGAGAAAGGAAGTCAAAAGAGTGGAGATTTCAAGCTGAAATTTGGGGCTGGGAGATGTAAGGAATTTAACAAATGGTTCCAAGGGACACATGAGATTAAGATACAAAGTAGATGAATGGGGGAAAGGTAAATGTTATCTTATATGCAAACACTGTGGTCCAAATCTAAGATGAGAATTCTAAATCAACATAACGTTTTTAGAGATAAGGCTACTGAACTCTTCTTAAGGGTAATAAAAATCTTTCCTATCTATTTTATTGGTTGCAATGCCAGGAAAAAGACTGTGAATTAACATTGCTAATGGATTTGTTGAGACAGTATGTCAAGGTCGTTGCTCAAGGTTGGTGGAGAAGAACCACAGGGATCCAAAGCAAATTCCTTCCCTGGGAATATTTCAGTCCTGCGACAATTTGGTTTTTGCAGAGCCTTCCCTGGGACTTGAGGCTTTATCAATGTTGATTTACCACCACCGTGAGGCCATATCCAGCCACTGCATCTGGTTTCTGGCCTCCGAAATACAGAGGGAAGATAATTTGCCCTTTTGTTTGCAGTTGTAAACATCAGGATGAAAATAGTTCTTCATGATTTTCTTGGTATGGAAAGGCTATGATTCACAAACATCTTACATCAAGATGATGATGGTGCCTAATTGCATTTAATAGCAAATATTTCTATAATGATGAAAATCAAAAGAGGAATAAACTCAATGTTACATTTTTTAACTCAACTAAAATAATTCTTAGGACATTAGTGAATTATTTTTTATCCTTAAACCTAAAGGAATAACTTTGTACTGATGGTAGGATGTTTTGGAAATATAACAATTAAAAATTCAAAACAAAACCTTGATATTTATGGTCCCCTTGTAATGTGTCAGGCAAAGTGCTAAGGGGATTATTCATTTAATACATCATCCCTTTTTATTCTCAAGAAAAAAAGTCCCTCCTTGATACAGACACTGTTATATTATATTCCCATTTTACCATTGAGGAAAGAGAGACATAGAGCAGTTAATAATTTACCCAAAGGTACAGGAACATTGGGCTCAATTCATAGCCACACTTTTTAAATGTGAAAATTCAGATAAATCACTGGAAGTTTACTAAATAAGTCTTCTAGTCTTTAAAATGAGATATTAATTACATTTGTCATGCCATTGCATGGGTTATTATATGAACTTACGAAGAGCAAAGGCTCATTGCAAACTCTAAAGGCTATGTAAATATTAGTCATCATTTTTGTGACTTTTCCTTTGATTCCAGGGAATTCGCATCAACTATGTTAGAAAGAACTAGAATAAGAACCTTAATTCTGCCTCTAGAGTAGCATTGTGACATTGGAAACTTAACCTCTCAAGCCTCAGTTTTAAAAAATGAACATTAGTAAAGGAATTGAATTGGATGACCTAAAAATACTTCTCAGTTCTGAAATTTCATGAGAGACTATGAGAAACAACTAAGAGACACAGACATTTATTTGTAAAATACTCATTAGAATATATCACTTCAACACGGCTGGCTTTATGTTCCATGGGACTCCAGGTGAATTCAAATTCCCCTTAGAAAGATCCTCATGTTAAGTGAACGTGAGGCTGTGACAGTAATGAACCTGAAAGTATGAAACTATTTGTGCTGCTTTCCTAACACTGCAATGTGATGAGAACCAGACATCCTAAAGGAATTTGGGGCCTGGCGAGAGTTCGTAAGATACCATGAGACCAGGGCCAATAGTGACAGTAAACAAGTGAGCAACCCAGCAAGAATTAGGTACAGATTAGCCTCAATGTATAGCAAATAAGGTCAGCTAAATGAATCAGATAGGAAATATTTGCTTTGGCAGACTTGCCGTTGTGATGTCTTGAACATTGCCTGTTGGTGCTGCTGCTTGTGTTCTGTTCAGACAAAAGGGAAAAGCCATTCCCAGAGTGTGCGTTTTGTGTCAAGGTCACTCATGATGTTAGACGGTGTCTGAGGCTATGGATCTTACTATGTAAAGATGGTTGGTCTGGATTTTTCATGGTGAATAAGCAACTTTATCCTGGAAAGGTGCAGCCTGTAAGCTTAGGCTCATGTGCTTTCCATTCTTCAGAGAGATGAGGCTCAGTGCATTACTTTTTAGGAAGCCAGTGGCTTTACCATCTGCCTTCATACTTTATCTAGGAATAAAGGAAGTTTTTACTTTTTTAGTGCTTTAAGAAAATCAAAATGGAGAGGTGTCACTTAGGTGGTGTCTTGATATGTTTAGATTTGTCTGGAATCTATTCAGCACTACTTGCTTGAGAAAGGGGTGTGTGTGTGTGTGTGTGTGTGAGAGAGAGAGAGAGAGAGAGAAAGAGAGAGAGAGAGAGAAAGAGAGAGGTGTATGCCACAACTGGCAATCTAGTACTCTTCCTTTTCTTTCTACCTGAGACCCAAAATAAAGCTGACAAGTTGAATTAGCCAAATTACTTTTGCTTTTGATTTCTTTATTTTCTATAGCGTAGAGAAGACTATTCGTACTCTTCAAAAATGAAGTCTAATTAAAACCATTTCCTTATCCTATTCTCACCATTATCTTGAGTTTCAAATTGTTTGGTGCGTGCCATTGTATTTAAGAGACCATTTACCAGGCTCTTCTTAGTAGGATGGAGGGCTCATGAAAAATATTGTGCCCCCTTCTCTCTCTAGACATGCTTTTATACAGGGGAAACATGGCTGGAAAGAACTCCAAGAATAGCCTTGCTCAAGGTACCAAAAAGACGGATAATAAGAAAAGTAGTAGACGGAACTCTATGGCAAATGAAAAGGTATATTTGGCAGGAAGAGATTCCTAGAGCAGTGCATATTAATGGGTGAAGGGCTTCTTTGGTGCCAGGTAGTTGTGAAGCATGGTGGTCAGCAGTGCGGGCTCTGGAGCCATATTGCCTAAACCACGTCCCAGCTTATCACCTGTGTTACACTTACCACCTGTGCTATTTTGAGAAAGTGACTTGACCATTCTGTGCTCCAGTTTCCCTTTCTGCAAAATAGAATTAAAAAGAATATCTACCAATAGAATTGTAATGATTATATGTGTAAAATGTGTAAGGAACTCAGAGTAGTACCTGGTGTATAGGAAGCTCTCAATAAATGGATGTTATTGTTATTGTTACTACTTTGGGAAGGGAGGGGTCAGGTCTTAGAAACTCCTTGTATACAGATGACTCTGCCTTTGGGGATTGAAGGACACCACCCTCTTTTCTTCTCCCATCTTCACCCCCTTGGTCATTATGGAGCTTCCTACAGAAGCCGCATTCATAACGGTTAAGGCCACATCTTGTATACGTACAATTTTTTTTTTTTCTTTCATGGAATGGTACCTCCAACCATAATAGAAAGTTGGCAGTCATCTCAGATTCTAACATCTTTCTCATCCATCACATCCAATTGGCCTGTCCTTTCTACCTTCTAGCGTACCCTATAAACCTGGCATGTTCTCTCCATGTGCACTGATGCTGTCTCAGTCTAGCCTCATCGACTTCTTCACAGAGTACCGTGGCAGCCGTCTAACTGGCTTCTCCATACTCTCAGCCTTATTACTTACTGGCAATCCATTCTCCACACTGCATCCGGAGTGAGTTTTCTAAGATGCCAGTTGAATTCTCTCACTCCCCTGCTTCAAAACTTCAATGATCACCCCATTGTCCTCAGGATAAAGTCTAATCTCCAGAACATGTTGTCTGTGGCCTGGCTCCTGGCCAGACTTCCGACCTCATTTCTCAGTGTTTCCCTATTTGCATCTAGAGCATTAGCCATGCTCAGCTACTTAGAGTTCTCAGAATGAGCTGTTCTCTCTTGGGCTTTATTTGCTAGGAACATTCTTCTCTGCTCCTCCCAGTCCCCTCTGGATTTTTCTGAATCACTTACACTTATCTGTCAGGGCTCACCTTAGTTGTGAGTTTCTCCAAGAAGCTCCCATTGATGTCCCAGGATTGAGTTGAATGCCTTTCCAACACCTCCTGAGCACTTGGGATGATCTACAACAGAGTTTCTCAGAGTGTGATCCAGGTACTTCTAAGAGTTCCCAAGACTCTTTCATGGGGTCTGCAAGGTGAAAGTAATTTTCATATTAATACCAAAAACATTATTTGCCTTTTTCACTTTCATTTGGCGTATAGTGGAGTTTTCTAGAGGGTACATGACATGTGATACTGTAAGATATTAAATGCAGAAGTGAAAATGGGAATTCAGCTGTCTTCTGTTAAGCCAGACATTCACAAGATTCGCATACAGTTGAGAGAAAGCAACTCTTCTCACTATTTTTTGAAAACATAGTTATTTTTCATAACAATGTATTATGTTAACATGTAATAGATTATTATTGTAATTTTTAAATTAATTAATACATGTTTTTATATTTCTAAAATAAACATTGATAGGTATAACCCAAAGAAGCAAAAGCACTTTGGAGCCCAAAATAATTCTTAGTATTCTAAAGGAGAACCACTGATCTATATTATTACACATTATATCACACTTTGTATCTACTATGCTCTGAACTCTTTAAGAGAAGAATCTGGGTCATTTATATGTGAGTTCCAGGCCCTAATACAATTTCTGATACATAATAAAATCTCAATTAGTATATATATTTTTGGCTTAAACAACAGAAATTAATTTTCTCCCAGTTCTGGAGGCTGGAAGTCCTAGATCAGTGTGCCAGCATGGTTGGGTTCTAGTGAGGGCCCTCTTCCTGGCTTGCAGACAGCCACCTTCTCACTGCATCTGTTTGGAGGCTGGGAAGTCCAAGGTCCAGGGAACACATTTGGTGAGGGCTTTCTTGGTGGTGATGACTCTGCAGTGACACAGGGTGTCACATGGCAAGAATGGCCTGAGCAAGAAAGCTCAATTAATATTTTTTTTTAAATAAAGGACCTAATAGGCACATGTGCAGGTATGTTCACATACATGGAATTTGAACAAAAAAGGCAATTTAATCCTTATTTCAGCTGGGCCTAATGCTACCCAATCTAGATAGTATACACAATTGGCTAAACCAATAGTACTCTGAAATTTTACATAATTCTTAAAATCTCTAGTTCTGTCCCTTTAAAAAATTTTTGATCTCCAGAAATCTTGTCCAAAGTATGTTTATGAAAACTTTAAAATGTGCAATTGGTGCTCTATACTTGAGGAAATAACAACTAAGTTCTTCTGGCTCAGCTACCTACTGGTGTGTGCTATCAGACAGGTACTTGACCTTCCTACACTTCAGTTTTCCCACCAGTAAAATGGGGGGCGGGTGGGGTGGGAAGGTTTTGAACTGGATGGATTCTAAGGGCCTTTTGAAGGCTGGGTCTGTGCTTCTTATCTCCATGGGAGCTATTTCCCTTCCCCCTTTTCTCCTCTCCAAGCAGATGTGCTTGGATAATACAATCTTCTCTTTTCTTGGCTCTAATGATGTCCACTGGCTGAGCTGTCAGCCTTTACAGACTCGCTGCCCTGATGTTCTCTGGTAGAAAGTTGGCTATAGCATTTTCTTGTTCATTCAGTGTGATAAACACTCCGCATGGAATTCCAACTTTTTAAAAACAACAATAACTTTGTTATTACTAAAGAACTGTATATTCCCTGGAGAAAATTTAGAATATCTAGATAAACAACAACTTGACAATCTCCTGTAGTCTTTTGAGTAACCTTTGTATTCTACAGACACTCCCATCCAGTCATGTGTGTCGTTATTCCAGATATTTGATTTGCAAGGAGGTCTTACTAATCAGGAAAGTATTTAGAGCTAATCTAAACATAGAATTATAACATTTTCAGCTCTGCACTTCAGTGTCAAGGAGCCAGTCTTTTTCATTAAAACTTTTAGGACATGTTGGAAGATGTTGTTTAGTAAAAGTGATTGCTTAGTTCCAACAAGGTGGGGAAGACTTTGAGCTGTAGAAAAAATAGAGAAGGAATGAGCAGAGAGAGAGAAGAGGAAAGAAAGGGAGGGGAGGGAAAAAGGAGAGGAATGGAGAACAAGGAAGGAGAGGGATTAGTAGGAGGGAGAAGAAAAGAAAAAGGCAAAAGAGAACAGTAGTCACGAAAGAGAAAAGAAAGGAGGACTTGTGATAGGAATGGCTGAGTTATGTGACAAGGATTGGAGTTCCCACAGAGGCTTGGGAAGTGAGAGTGGACAACAGAGGATCTTACTGCCCTTTGTTTTCTTTCTGTGGACCTCTTGGGAGCAAGTCTGGTTAGAGAAAGAGTATGGCATAGTAGCCCAGAGGTTGGGCTCTGGAACAGAACTATTTAAATACCATGTGATGGCTTTATGAGCTTGAATAAATTACATGCCTCGGCTCTGGAACAGAACTATTTAAATACCATGTGATGGCTTTATGAGCTTGAATAAATTACATAATGCCTTGTTCTTCATCTGCACAATGGGGAAATTTGTGACTATTCAATAACTTCATAACTTATTAGAAGAATAGCTGATAGATAGCACCCAAGTGTTAAGAATTGTTATGTGTGATACTGGATATGAAAAACCTACAAATAAATCATTAAACCATCATAATCCTGAATGCTAAGATATGAGTGTCTGAGGTCCTCATTTGGGACTTAGAGGCAGGGAAAGATGATCTGATCTGCTCATCCAGTGCCTCTGGAGGATAGGGGTGCTTGAGGCAAGGTCTCATTGAGAAGTCAGCAAAACTTTGGGGCAGACTACCTGGGAGCATCTCCAGACTCACTCCTGACAGCTGTAACTATTTGAGCTTGTCTGTGTTTCGATTTACGCCCTATAAAAGGGAGACTATGGGATTCTTATGATATAGGGTTGTTTTAAGGATTAAATAAGTGCCTGGCACATAGTAAGTGCTTAATTAATATTAGCTATGATTAGTTCCAGTTTGTTCTCACTTCTTTTATTCATATCTATTTTTATTAGACTTTGATGATATGCATTCCACTCTTGTTTGGCCCTTAGAATCATTAATAGTTCATTTTTATAAACCCATAGGGAGCAACTAAACTCAAAGCCTCTAGATTTGATGGAGGAAACCCATTTCCACTATGAGAGTGAGGGATCTTTCTGGGCTCTTCTTTTCCAGTTGAAATCACCATGAATGGTATTTAAAGAAATTGTAAGTTCAGCTCAATTTATCCCTTCTACATGAGCCTGAGTTCAGAATAGAACTCCCCACTTGGTAAATTTTAGGTAATACCATCCCATGCCTGTTTTATTCTCTCTTTCCTGCTGACAGCCTCTTACCTTTATTCTGGGATAATTTTATCAGGAATATTTTTTTTTTTTTTGTCTTTTGTCTTTTTCCGTGTCCGGCAACGGATCGCAACCCTCAGTGTTGCCCCCCCACCGGACCGGGGACCGGCAACGGTATTGCAACCCTCGGTGCTGCTCCCGCGCCTCGCTCAGCCAGTGAGCGGGAACCGGTCTGTATGTGGGATCCGAACCCTTGGGCGGGAGTGCCGCCGCGCTTCCCAAGCGGCGCACTTATCCAGTGCGCCACCGGGCCGGCCCTATCAGGAATATTTTTATATTCTAAAGCCATTCCATTCAACCTTTAGAAAAGAAGCTAAATATTTCATAAGGCATTTCAGCGTTTGAGTTTTTGGTGGCATCAGAGTTAACATTGCCCGAAACCACTTCATTTTCTTTTCCATCTTTGTTCTAAAAGCACACACCATCTCTTCTCTTCTGTCAACTACTTGTACTGTGTTGGATATTGTAGGTAGGAATGTGGGTAAATGAGTAAGGTGGCAGAGTTCATAACACCAATTTTAACTCCCTTGCCTTTATCTTGGGCCTCTGAGT